ATCTCACTTTTACATCACTACTGTATAATGTTTATAGATTTCCACAGTAAGGGATTTAAGTGGGTTTTCAATCATGGTTGGCTTTTTTTTCCAGAGCCTTATGGACAACACTGTTGTTGTTTTCTGGCCAGGAAGAGCACTATGATGTTATTGTGGATGGGGCAGAGCAGAAAACAATTAAAAAGTAAACAGTTGCGCAAGGAGTCCCTCCTAAACTACATTAAAAGACTGATTTGCCTTTATAAATTGAGAAAAAAGAAAAGCCACTGAATTTCTGTGGTGCAATGAGAAGAACTCTAAAAGCTACAATAAGGCTCATCAATGGTATAAGTCAGGTAGTCCTCATTTAGCAACTGCCTTATATAGCAACTTTTGCAGTTATGATGGTGATGGAAAAATAACTTTTTGACCAGTCCTTGCATTTACAATGTTTGCAGGTTGACAAAGTCAAGGAAAACTGAAGCACATCACGGTTTCACTTAAGCACTGCTTCACATAATGCACGTTGATGGTCCCAATTGTTGTCACTAAACAAGGAATACTTTAATTTCCAATTCACTAACTATATTTTTATCCAAACTCTTTATGTAACATATTGGTATGATTCTGTGGTCATTAAGCACACTTATCTCTTACTGGGTGGTGTACCTTCTCCTCCCCACCCTTTCACAATGAATTGTGATATTCCTGTTGGTGCTCTATTTGGCAAACATGCAAATCTATACAGGTAGTCCTCAACTTACAACACAGTTCATTTAGTGACAGCTAAAAGTTAAAACAGCATCTTACGACCATTGCAGCATCCCGTAGTCAAATGTTCTAAATTTGGATCCTGGGCAACTGGCTCATATTTATATGATTGCAGTGTCCTGGGGTCATATGAGTACCTTTTGCAACCTTCTGACAAGCAAAAACGTTGGGGTAGTCAAATTCACTTAACGTGTTACTAACTTAACAACGTCAGTGATTCACTTAACAACTGTGGCAAGTAAGTCATAAAATGGAGTAAATTTCACTCAACGACTGCTTAGCAACAGAAATTTGGGGCTCAATTGTGGTCAAAAGTCGAGGACCACCTGTGCAGATAGAATGACTTTGCTGTTATTATACTGTATGCAGACCATAAGAATAGTAATAAAACAAGTATTGGAATCTTGGAGAAATTGGCTTTGTCAGGTGAACTGGAGCAGCTCAGCATCTCTCTCACTTTACACACACACACACACACACACACACTGGGGGGGGGGGGGAATAATAAAAAAGACACTTTAAAATGTTCCTGGCTGCATCAAGGATATTCAGGGACGTGTGGATTCTAGCCAAGGGTTGCTGCATAAGAAAGTGAGGGATGTGTATGTGTGTGTGTGTTTGTGCTATGGGGACAAAGTAAAAAGAGACTCGATTGAAAGGAGGAGGTGGTGGGTTGGCTAATCCAGGATGCTAGTAGGAACCTATAGTGCTGACCTCAGCGTCTGCACCGACTGCCCAAAGAGCTTGATTATTTTTAGATAAGATGAAAAGCAGAAAGAGAGAGAGAGAGAGAGAGAACGAGGAGTTCTGGGATGCAGCCCATGTGAGGCGTGAGTTGTATTTCTGATGAGGGAAGGGAAAGCAGGAGGTGGGAAGGGTGGAAGAAAGGAGGGTTTTGTTTCAGTGGCCTTCGCTCCTGCTGTCTGCACAAGTCCCTCTGGCTCTTTCCTCAAGTTCAGCCCTTGCCTTTGATTCAGAACTGGTCACGTTCAAAGAAACTTCCAGAGTTATCTAATCACCTCCCCTAGTCTAAGCCTGCCAATTTCTGGATGGTTTTGAAAAAGGGTCATACCTTTTGATGGTACGACCCCGAGCATCAGCATTTCTTCCCTCTGTTTAAAAAAAGTTCTTACAAACAGAGAGCACAAAGGGCTCCTGACTGTGTGCAAAGTGCATTTCCTTTGAGAAGGGAACTAGCTGGACATGGTAGAGTGGGACCTCTGCAAGAATGATGCAGTGCAAATGCTGCTGGAATAAGGGGGAGAATGTATGCTTTTCATTCAGAAGACTGCATGCAGATTTTCCCAACCTTGGTGACTTTAAGATGTGTGGACTTCAACTCCCAGAATTCCCCAGACAGCATGTTAGTCAGTTGCTACCATCTGAGTAATCGCCAAGTTTCAAACTTACAAGAAGCTCTATTTTGTTCTTTACTACAGTCTTCTGATCTACCACCTAGATCTGGCTGCAAAACAATGGCTCAGAGAGCAGACCACGGGTAGTCCTTGACTTACAACCATTCGTTTAGTGACCGTTCAAAGTTGCAACGGCATTGAAAAAAGAGACTTATGACTGTTTTTCACACTTACAACCATGACGGCATCCCCTTGATCACATGATTAAAATTCGTCCGGTTGGTAATTGGCACGTGTTTATGACAGTTGCACTCCTCTGGGATCATGAGATCACCGTTTGAAACCTGCCCAGCCATCTTCTGACAAGCAAAGTCAAGGGGGAAGCAAGATTCGCTTAACGACCACATGGTTTACTTAACAACTGCAGTGATTCCCCTAGCAACTGTGGCAAAAAAGGTCATAAAATAGGGTGAAGCTCAGTTAACTGCCTTGCTTAGCAATGGAAATTTTGGGTTCAATTGTCGTAAGTCAAGAACTACCTGTATGGGCATTTTTATACAGCCACACACATCACCCTGCAAACCCTGCATTTATTCTTTCAACAGCTTCCAATCGTATTCACCACAGCCTTAATAACAAGGGCTAGTTACAACTTCCTCTGCCTTTAGCCACAGGTAGAAGTGTGCTAAAAAATGATCAACCCCTCATCTCTTACCATTTTTTCACCATCTATAAGGTTTTGGAGAGGGGCCCTGGGGGGGGGGGGAGGCAGAAACCACTGCAAAATTGCTGGAGTGCAGTTATGAGAATTTTATGGCATTTTGGAAGCATTACAGTTTAGAGTAGGAAAAAGACACAGAACCAGGGAGGTGATTCCAAGTGGGAGTTTCCACCAATTCCATGGAATTGGAGTGTATCAAAATTCAAAATGGAAGCCCTGCAATTTGAGATTTCAGACTCTGATGCCCCTACGAAAATCAACTCAGCTGCTGAAAGGTGACACTAGGAACAGTGGGAGATGGCACCACTCCAGGAATCGCCCCAAAGTGCCCCATGGAATAGCCCATGATTTCAGCATTAAGAAAAAGAGTGTCTCAGCATGATCAGAACCAAAGAGCCCACATGAATACTTCAAACTTCAGCTTCAATCATAACAATACAAGAGCACACAATAGATACAAACTCAAGGTTAACCGCACCAAACTTGATTGCAGGAAATACGACTTCAGCAATAGAGTGGTCAATGTCTGGAATACTCTACCTGACTCTGTGGTTTCTTCCCCAAACCCCAAAAACTTGAACCTTAGACTGTCTACTATTGACCTCACCCCTTTCCTAAGAGATCTGTAGGAGGCGTGCATAAGCGCACCAACGTGCCTACCGTCCCTGTCCTATTGTTTCTTTTTATTTTTCTTATCTATCTCATGTATTCAAAAGTATGTTTATTCTTATACCTGTATCTTGTAAGTGATTGACAAATCAAATAAATACTAAAATGAATTCCTTTGCACAAAAATTATTTTCTGGTGTCTCCCTCCCTCTTTGCAAGTTCCAGTTCTTGCATTCCTTTTCAGCAACTTGATTTCTCCGGGAAAGATTGCTGCTCTTGAAAGCAGAGCCAGAAACTTCATTGCTGCCCCGTATCAAATTACTTAGAGGCCCAACAGAATCTATCTCTACCCAACCTTGCAGGACGAAGAGTTAATACAGCCTAAGACCGTCCCGTGTGTGTTCCCCATCTCTCAGGGGGGAGGATTGCATCAATGGGCAATGTTTATTTCATCATGCTCAAATAGACAGCACGGGGTTAGGATCCTCAGTGGCATCACATGCCTGGCTTTAGTGGCGCCAACAGAGTTCTGAGGTCAGGTGTTGCCTGCGTAGCTGAGAGCCGAGGAAGGGAAGGGAGGCCGAGGAGGGAGATGCTTCATCTGCATTGACGGCTCGTTAATCACCCACCCGGGCTGCGAAGTGAGTGCTGTCAAGGGAGGGCTGATTATGGGGAGGAGGGCAGCCGTTACTGCAAAAATTACATTACTCCAAGCGCCCATTAGTGTTTGGCGGTTGCTGTAGCAACCTAGTAGGGCCTGGACTTGTGGTCGGCCTCTGTTCATCTTTACCTTGATGAAGGAAGGCTGAGGGTCTTAGCAAAGATTGCTAGTACCAAGAGGTGTGCTTAGTGGCCTGAGGTGACCCAGCCACTGACCTTCCTTTGCCATCACTCAAGAGGGGCTCACACAGGGAAGAGGGGCTTGGCCCCAAAGCACGAGAGGACAGAAGTAATGGGTGGAAGCTTGTCAAAGAGAGATGCAATGTAGGAGTAAGGAGAAATTTTCTGACAGAACAATTAATCAATGAAATAGATTGCTTCCTGGAGTTATGGGTACTCCATCACTAGAGATTTTCAAAATTGAACTAGTCAACACTTGACCGGGATGGTATAAGGGTGCAGGGAGTTGGGCTAGAAGACCTCCAAGGTCCTTTCCAGCCTTATGATTCTATGTTCTATGTTCTAAGTCAAAGTATCTAGTATGAAAATCACACAGGTTATACGAGATTTATCAGGCAGGAGACCCGACGACCCCTTCCCCAACTTTACACAAATTGTTTTCCCTTATAGCAAAAATATGACATTAAAACTAACTCCTGAATGCATTTTCTTGCCTCCCAAAATTTGTGGCTGTCTGAAAAAGCCACCCCACTTTTTCTGAAGAAATTCTGACATTGTGTTTTGGTCAGCCAGCCCTGGATGCTAGTCTAAACTTCTCAGTTATGGAAAGCAACTTTTGGGAGGACGGGGGGGGAAAAAACCCCAAAAGAAGACAAATGTATATGTGTTGTAGGCCCTGGTTGTGTAAAGCTGTAAAATGTAATGCACAATTCTTTTCTTTTCAGATTCAGATCAAAGCAGCAGTCCCAGGACAGGAATCGGTTCTGACCAAGAGGATAGTAAACCCATAATCACACTGGGTGAGCAACAGCAAAAAAAGGACAGAGGAAAGGTGTGGGTGCATGTATGAGGCTGTCGGTCTGCGGTTCCCTGAACTTGCAATACAAATCCCGAAAGAATTAGGTGGGACGGTACCCTGGAACAGACTGATGGGAAGGATCAAGGGTTGATCCAATCAGGAAATGAATTAGTAATAGAGAAGCACCTCAAGGCAGGCTTAGAAATAGGATTGGTTTGGAGTCCTCTTCTGTCTCTTCCCACCTTCTCAATTTAGTAAAAAAAAAAAAAAAAAAACACCACCTGGTTTATTCCAAACCAAATCAGACTTCACCACAGCCTTGAGGATAACGTGGAATGAACATTCTCAACCAGCCTCGGGCAGCAAATCTCTAAATCTGTGTTTCTCAACTTTGGCAACTTTAAGATGGATGGACAAACGAGAAAACCTATCAATAAAGTCAATCACGTCACTGTTAAATACAGTCATTAGTAAAAACATAAATGCGTTTCAGAAGGGGACTGACAGCCAGCTTGTAAAAATCACTTCAATTGGGTACTTTTTACATAAAGGCCTTCTTCAACCTCATGCTGTTAAAACTATTATTCCGTCATCCAAAACTGACATAGCCAGTGGCTGTTATATAATATTAAATTATTTTAGGGTCAAACTTCTTCGGCTGGCTGCTTTCATAGACTCTTGTTCTTTCTGGTCTAAAAAAATGGAGAAATGATAAATGGAGAAAAGAGTTTGAAAAGTACCCAGTCTAGAATATTTAGGATTATATGCTAATTACCTGATTTATAGTATACGGAATTTCTTTCTCTAAGTCAAAACCTGACACTGAAAACATTGAACAATTCAGGAAAAAAAAACCTGATTATTGGAGCAGTTTCTGAATGAGTTCAAAACCTCTTTTGCAGATGCAGCAGATTTTCAAGAGAATTTTGTTACGTCAGGTGTGTTCAGTGTCACAGAACTTATCCAAGTTTCCCGGAGTGAGTAGCTTGTATCCTTATTAGTTTTTTTTTTCTATTTAATTCTCACTTCTGTCAGTTACTTTATATTGTTTAAAATGCAGCTATGAGTAAGATTTGCTAATTTTTCCACACTGTTCATCTATTCTTTTTCATTGCAAATGTTAATAGATTTCTACCAAAATTATAATATTTTTACTTTTAATATCTATTTCCCAGCTGCTGGGAAAAGTTATCTGTTGGTTCAGACAGGGTTACCATCAAGGTAGTGATGATGCTCAAGCTGGCTCTACTGTTGAAATTTTGTCTATAGGCTGTTGGGTTCTGGATGTGAGGAAACAACCCTAACCCTAACCCAGGCAAGTGGAGTTACTTTCAGGCACTCGAAACCAGGAGCCAGCATAGAGTTCAAAAGCATTGTGAATTTATTCAATGCAATCTATAGACAAGAGTCTGATGTATATGGAGATTCTCAATCATCCAGGTTCATGGTTGTCCCAAAAGTGCCTTTTTCAAAAAGGCAACTGGACTTTCTTGGTTTTTTTTCCTTTGAAAACTTTCGCTTCTCATCTAAGAAGCATCTTCAGTTCTAATTGTTACATACATACGTACATACGTACGTATCAGGTCACTTCATTCCATAATCCAATGTTTCTATTGACTACTTTAAGATGTGTGGACTTCAACTCCCAGAATTCCCCACATCCACCCGACAGACTAATTCAGTGTTTCTCAAACTCAACCACTTTAAGATATATGGACTTCAATTCCCAGAATTCCCCAGCCAGTTGTATTGGCTGGGGAATTCTGGGAGTTGAAGTCCACACATCTTAAAGATGCCATAGTTGAGAAACAATGCCATCATCTCTGACAGAGCACCACTGATGGAAGGAGAAAATTCCATCCCGAATCATTGTTTTATGAATCACTCATTAGCCTTTGCTACTACTGATGGTTCTTCTGCCTCTGTCATTCACAGCACCAGTGGTGACAGGCACAGGTCCAAATTTCTCTTTGGGAGAGTTGCAAGGGCACTTAGCATATGACCTGAATCCCTCAAGTACAGGGATGAGGCGGACGCTCCCCAGCACTTCCTCCAGTGGGTAAGTCTAAACACTCTCCCTCTCTCCCTCCCTCTCCCTCTCCCCCCTCCCTCCCTCTGTGAATATGTGTTAAACTAGCTTTGTGTGTGTGTGTGTGTGAGTGTGTGTGTTTATTTATGGAATAAAACTTTTACCCTACTGAAGATGCAACAGATGGAATTGGAAGGTTGCCAGGTCACACAAAATTGGTTGATATCCAGAAAGTGGGGGTGGGTCTTCAAGAATTAGGGTTTTTGTCCAGCTATTTCTTGTAACTAGAAATTATTTTCTAGTTATAGCAGGGGTGTCAAATTTTATTTCATTGAGAGCCACATCAAGGTTGGGTGTGGGGGGGGGGGGGGGGGGGGTTGGTTGTGTGGCCATGGTGGGCGTGGCCAGATTGACTTCAGTAGTATTGGGTACCTGTGGTGGCCCGAGTGCTCTACCAGTGAAAACAGGCTCCCAATCTCCATTTTTGGCTGGGACGGCCTCTTGCAACCCTCTGCCAGCAAAAACCGGCCCTCCGGAGCTCTGTTTTCACTGGCAAAGGGTTGCAGGAGTCTGTCCCAGCTGAAAACGGAGATTGGGAGCCTGTTTTCGCTGGCAGAGGCACCATGGACCAGTCCTTTGTTTTTTCAAGGGTGGCCCTGTGGGCCATATCTAAGCACACTGCAGGCTGGATCCAGCCTGTGGGCCTTGGGTTTGACACCCGAGTTACAGGTAGTGTACGACTTACGACCACAATTGAGCCCAAAATTTCTGTTGCTAAATGAGACAATTGTCAAGGGAGTTTTGCCCCCATTTTATGACCTTTCTTGCCACAGTTGTTAATGAATTGCTACATTCGTTAAGTGAACCTGATTTCCTCATTGACTCTGATTGTCAGAAAGTCGCAAAAGGCGATCACATGACCCTGGGATGCTGCAACTGTCATAAATATGAGCCAATTGCCAAGCGCCCAAATTTTGATCACATGTCCATGGGGATGCTACAATGTTTGTAAGTGTGAAAAACAGTGGCAAGTCACTTTTTTCAGTGCCACTGTAATTTCAAACAGTCACTAAACGAACTGTTGTAAGAAGGATTTCCTGTATTTGCAGACAATGTATGATTTTTACATTACACTTGTCTGGAATGGTATAGGATCTCTTGCTTGAACAGCGGGTTGGACTAGAAGACCTCCAAGGTCCCTTCCAACTCTGTTACTCTGTTTTTCTGATTTTGATGTAATGCAGTCTTTCTTCTAGCTAAGGTAAAAAGTAGGGTTTCAAGATAGGAGGCTGTAGCTTTCATGCCCCAATTTTCTCCTTCCTTTCTCACTTTTTAAACAACCTGAATCATGATCCTGACTTATTCAACCACATCACATCCACATGTCTCAAACATCTGGGATGCAAATGGCTTGAGAAAGCGGGAGGTGGAATCTTTGACAGCTCTTTCTGTATCATTGAAACAACCACTTCTCCCGTGCTCTTAGGATCAGAATTGAAATTGTAAAGGTGATCATTGGGTGACATACTCAATAAACCCAAAATGCGACCATCTCAGCCTTTAGGAACGCTGTCACCGTTTAATTAGAAAAAAGTTTTCTTTCCTATGTAGCTCTGACCTGCTGTGAGCACTCTTACCTTTTGTGTTTTTAATTAATTTTTATTTTATTCAGACAATTAGAATACAAAATCCAAAAGAAAAAAAAAATCAACAGAGACAAAACAAAACTAGACAAGAACATTTAAAAAGTGAATTAAAAAGAACAAATGACAAAAACACAACTAAGGAGGGATCCTAGATGTAGACATTCTAGACCTGCTTTGCAAAGGGGGAAACTAATATTGTTGTAATAGATTAGTTGTTGTTCAACTAGGGGGGATAATATGCTCTTACCTTTTGTAATGCCGTTCCTTCATTCCCTACCCTGGTTTGCTACTCACCCCCAGATCTTGTACAAACTCCTAATCCACAAACTCCCGGAGAAAAAAGGGTGTGACTTTAGTCAGTTTCCTGCCTAAGCAGGGGGCTGGACTAGAAGATCTCCAAGGTCCCTTCCAATTCTGTTATTCTATTCATTACATGATCACAGTTGCCATCTTGGCATTCTTGACCCCCTAGATGCCTCTGAAACTTTCCATGACCTTTTTCTTTTTATTACTTCACTGATATATCCCAATATGTCATTGTTCTGTCTTTTGTTCCTGTCCCTTAAAACAATTCTTTTCTTCTTTTACTTCTTGTGCCCAGGCTGTCTACTAAAAACTCCTGTCCTTCAAAACTTCTTCCATCTTCTCTTCTCTTTATTTTTCCTTCCACCAAAATGCTAGGACTGTGTTAAGGGAATAATTGCAGTTTGTTTACTTTGCCTTGGTTTTCTAACCTCATTTGCCTCTCTTTGGAATCATATTTCACCATGTAAAGCTCCTCAGAGATATCCTAAATTCTTGGACTTAGTGAATTATTACCCAGAGCAATGAAGTATAAAAAGGAGGAAGTTCCTTTCAAAATTTAGCTTCTTTGATAGCTGTTGCCCTCCATGGTAGCTATACAGGTAGTCCTCAACTTACCAAGTTCATTTAGTGCTACAATGACACTGAAAAAAGTGGCTTCTGATCATTTTTCACACTTACGACCTTTCTAACAGTCCCATGGTCATGCTGATCAAAATTCAGATGCTTGGCAATTGGTTCATACTTATGACTGTTGCTGTCATGTGATCAACTTTTGAAATGTTGTGACACGCAAAATCCCCGGGGAAGCCAGATTAAGTCAACAACTGTGTTACTAACTTATCAACTGCAGCGATTCACTTAACAACTGTGGCAAGAAAGGTTGTAAAATGGGACGAATGCAGATGTGGCATTCAGCAGGTTCTGACCAGTTCTGGACAACCGGTAGTGGAAATTTTGAGTAGTTCGGAGAACCAGCAAATCCCACCTCTGACTGGAGATTTTACAGTCGCCTTCCCCTGCCACGCCCACCAAGCAATGCCCACAGAACCGGTAGTAAAAAAGTTTGAATCCCACCACTGGACAAACGCCTCACTTAACCGCAGAAATTTGGGTCTCAGTTATGGTTGTAAGTCGAGGACTGTCATGGTTATGCTGCTTTTGAAGAGATGTTAGATAATGATGGCTGTTATTCTTAGATTTTAAACTGCTATTAAAGCCACATCTCTCCTTTTTTTCCCCATTAGGAGTAAACGGCACAAGTCAGGATCTATGGAGGATGATCTGGATACCAGCCCTGGGGGTGAATACTATACCTCCCCCAGCTCCCCCACAAGTAGCAGCCGCAACTGGACGGAGGACATGGAAGGGAGTAAGTGTGCAGGAGATGCACGTTCAAATGCCTTTGTGGAATAAATGTCTATGGAGATTCCTCAGACATCCAGATCATAGCTGTTTCAAAGGTGGTTTTTTTTCTTTTTCAAAAGGCAATTGGGCTGTTTTTTTCCCTGAAGAAGAAGAAGACATTTTGCTTCTCATCAAAGAAGTTGTGATGGTTGTGACTGGATGATGGTAGCGGCAGGGGAGGGATGTTGGAAGGATAAGTTCTATCCTTCCTATCTTTCCATCGCCCCACCATCCAGTCACAACTGATGAACCTTCTTGGGAGAGAAGTATTTTTTTCTATTTCCTCGAGGGGGGGAGGGAAACACCAGTCCAGTTGCCTTTGGGTGGGGTGGGGAAAGCACCTTTGAGACATTTTGCAGAATATTTAGCATTTCCATTGGCTTCCTGTTTTCCTAGTTTCAGGGCCAGGTCCCCAGGAGCTGCCATCAATCACGTGAAAAGTATAATTGGTTCCCACAAAGGAGAATATTTGGAGCTCAGGGTTCAAATGAGGGGTCCTCTCTGAACTTAGTTGTTTTCTTGCAGATGTTTCATTACCCAAACTAGGTGACACTGATGATGTTACGTAGTTTGGTAATAAAACGTCTGCAAGAAAACAACCAAGCTCAGACAGCACAAAAGACACCCAGTGCACTTGTTGAAGATCTGTCTGAAATACTGAATATAGAGATAACAACCAGAAGTACTGTATTGATAGCTAATAACTTGGAAATATTTAACCATCAAATCAACAAATCATTGTGATTTTTACAACTTTCTCTGAAGAGTGAGGAAAATTAATTTTCTTCTAATTCCATTACCTTGTCATTTGGGAATGTGTTATCTACTGTATTTTAATCTTTATGTATTTATTTGGTAAATTTATACAGCCACTATCTCACACATGTAACTCTGAGCTGCGTACAGAATTTAAAAACATGAAACCATGCAACATAATAACCAAAAATATCTACAATAATAGTTTAAAAACAGTAAAAGACTATTAAAGTCATTTTAAAAAACACAGTCTGCAGGAGAGCACAATCAGTCTCACTAACAATATAGGATTAATTCTGAATCAAGTAGAATAATATTGAGACTAAATTCCAGAATCAAAGGGTTACTAATTTAATGTATACAACTTCCATTTGTTTTTTCCCCTTCTCAGCACCCACGTTTTATATACATATAAGCTATCTTTATATGATTATACATACAGTCTGATTACATCAAGATTATTTTCAATATATAATATTTTAACTGATGCATACTGAGAAAATATTGCTGATGAACTCCTGTGCTGCTAACTAGCTTGGATGACTTCAAGAAAGGGCTGGACCAATATATGGAAATCCTGGGGATAAGCACTTATTAACTCTTTGTAGCAGGGCTGCTTCTGAAAGCTGTCTACAGGTAGTCCTCGACTTATGACCACAATTGGGGCCAAAACTTCCATTGCTAAAGAAGGTAATTGTTAAGTTAATTGAGCCCAGTTTTATGGCCTTTTTTGCCATAGTTATTAAATGAATCACTGCAGTCATTAACTGAATCTGGCTTTTTGGTGGTTCTGTACTCATTTGAGAAAATGTTTTCCATTTGCAGATATTATAAATTGGGTTTTTTTAAAAAAATAAAAGCATTGTTGTCTAATTAGAATATTTTATTTTTCCTCTTTTAAAAGTGATTTTTAAAAAAATAATTGATCAGTTGGCTTAACGATCAATAAACATTGCAATATTGTTGTGGTTATTATTTGCCTTCATTTGGGTAAAGAATTAAAAAGTGGGGGGTATGCCCACCTATTCTTTCCCCAAGTAGAAACATGTCTAAATGCTTTGCAAGAAGAGATTTAATTTCAATCCTGTCCTGGATGTTCTGTAAAATCCTTCCAAATGAGTGTCTGAGAAAGGACTAAACCTTTTAGTGGCGTGGACTAAACCAACTGCCCCAGATAAATCTGAGCCAGCAGATAGAGATTAACTGCATCCTGTTGCAGACATGCACACATGGGGGGCGGAGGGCTTTGATATTTATAGGCAAGGATAGAAGCCCATTTGTAGGATTCACCAGACAACTTACCTAGGAGCAAACTTCATTCTATCAATGTGTCACAAATGAAAATAGAAAAAACTTCTACAGGTAAATCTTGAATGGAATCTGCTCATAGTGGCTCAGCACCAAATGAGCCATAAGGAGAGAGCTACACAGACATGGGAAAGAATAATGCCAAGTGACAAAGAACAAGATATGCTTGATAGAACTAAGTCACATACATGAACTGTGCTGCATGAAAAACACCTGGTCCCTTTTTATAGTTGGGATGTCCAGGGCACTGCCGTAAATGATGCTAATGATTCATAAAAGCTAACATTTTTTCATTGGTTAGGTCTCTGAAGAACACGGCTGCTATATAGTTAAAGGATAGTTCCAAACTGTATAGAAAGAACAGAAATATGGTTTAAACCAGGGGTTCCCAATCTTGGCAACTTTAAGATGTGTGGGCTTCAATTCCCAGAATTCCCCACCAGTGGCTGGCTGGGGAATTCTGGGAGTTGAAATCCACACGTCTTTAAAAGTTGCCAAGATTGGGAACCCCTGATTTATAACTGTGTTTCTCAACCGTGGCCTCTTTAAGATGGGTGGACTTTGCTGGCTGAGGAATTCTGGGAGTTGAAGTCCATCCACCTTAAAAGGACCACAGTGGAGAAATACTGGTTTGGAGGGCATATTGATGTCAGCAACCAACTGTCTCAATGACATTGTAACATGCCTCTTCCTCCCATCTCTTCTTCAGGCATCTCTCCAACTGTGAAAAAGACAGAAATGGACAAGTCTCCCTTCAACAGCCCATCTCCGCAGGACACTTCACCCCGGCTGTTCACTCAGCATCACCGTCCTGTCATTGCCGTACACAGTGGTATGTAAGCTGCTTTACAAAGGGCAAGGATGATGGTTATTATTATGCGAACCTGATACAGAATCCTTATTTTACTATTTCCAAGTGTATAGGAGGGGACTCTGATAGTTTTAATAATGTTACTTATTTTTAAATATCTCCTTGGATATTCATCAGAAATGAGCGTCTCCTCATTGTGCTTCTTTTTCTAATAATTCCTCATCTAGGGGACCATTCAAAAATCCTCATTTTTCTTCCTTCCTATGTTCTGCCTGTTTGCCATTTTTAGAACAGCCTGTGGGTAGGCATAGGTCTCAAGGATCTAATTATAAAAAGGGTTGCTTGCTAATTCCTTCTTCCTAAGAATGGCAGTTCAGCAACATGTGGGACGAGAGGAGAAGAAGCTGCATTGTCAGAAGTTCTCCAAGGGAGAGTTGCTATTAATCTTCCCAAGCAACAATTGCCAGAATGCTTTTAGGAGATGGGATGGTAGATTCGATAGTTCTGGAAGAGTTCAAAAATATACTAGATTCAGCAGCTAATGCTAGCATAGGTCAGCCCCCATCAAAGGAAACTGCCTGAGTTAAGATAAATATAACTTTATTAGAGGAAAAGATTGCTTTGGAAGCCTCCTTGCTGCAATCAGCAAAAATGTAGCTGTTCCTTTCAGAGATCTAACTCTGGGAAGAAATTATCCCAGAACTCTGTAACAGAATCCAGCTGTGCACACAGCCCTAACTGGTAGGTGCTTGTTATGTCTTCAGGGAACCACCCTTTTCTCAATTTCCAGAAGTATTTGCACTTAAAAAACAAAGAAATGAAAATGAAACCTCAAGGCAGTGATGAATGTGCACATAATATATGACTTTATCCATGCCACATTTCAAATAAAGAGACAATTGCCTTTATGAACTACAGGAAAAGGGCAAGAGACTGCTAACTAAACTATTCCTCCACTGCTTATAGCAATAGCACTTAGACTTATATACTGCTTCACAGTACTTTACAGCCCTCTCTAAGTGGTTTACAGAGTCAGCCTATTACGTCCAACCATCTCGTTCATTTTACCAACCTCAGAAGGATGGAAGGCTGAGTCAACCTTGAACCTGGCGAGGTTCGAACTGCCAGATTGCAGGCAGCCAGCAGGCAGCAGAAGTAGCCTGCAGTACTGCACTATAACCATTGCGCCACCGCGCTTACACAGATAGTCTTCAATTTATGACCACAATGAGGAACAGAATTTTGATAAGCGATGCGATCATGAGGCGAGACATTGTTTTACAAAATTATTTTACAATAATTTTTACCACAGTTGTTAAGTAATTTGTGTGGTCATTAAGTGAATCACATAGGAGTTAAGCAAATCTGGCTTCTGCAGCTAACTTTGCTTGTCAGAAGCTGACTTGGAAAGTTGCAAACCGCAATCAATGCAACCATCATTAAGTAGGAACCAGTGACCAAAGGCCCAAATTGTGATCAAATGACCATTGAGGTAATGTGATGGTCAGAACATTGAGAACAGGTCACTTTTGCAAAGCCATCAAACCGTGTTAAATGAAGAGTCATAAACTGAGGACTACTTGTACATGCATCTAACATTTTAGTTGTCAAAATGAGAAGAAAACTGGATTTCTTGCAGAAATGAGTGAATTCTGGTCGTACAGTTATTTGAGGCAGGGAAGTGGACTGGAAGATCTCTAAGGTCCCTTCCAATTCTATAATTCTATGATTTTTGCATTATGTCCAACTTTTTCTTTTCCCTCTATAATATTACATTTGTTTAGAGTCTTTTGAATTTAACCCTGTCTGCAGACCAAGTGGATAGTTTTTATTATAGAACTCAGATGAATTGCCCAAATTAATGACAGCTTTCTTCAACTTGCCCTCCAGATGTGTTGGACTACAGCTCCCATCAACATGTTAATCAAATTAGGGAATGAAGCTTTCTGGCACAGGATAGGGTAGAATAGGAGTTTTGCAGATCATTTCAGCTTTTTTTCCCCCCCAGAATTCTTCAGAGTGCTACTAATTGTGGAAATTAAGAAAGAAACACTTCAGCAGTATATCAGGCAACTTAAATTCTCTTGAAAATTTCCCAGTAAAAGTTGCATGTGAAAAGCCCCCCCCCAAAAAAGTGATTTATTTGCAAAAAGCAAACAAAAAAAGTGATTAGGTTTTAAAAACTTAGGCCAGCAGAGCCACACTTGTAAAGATTTAACAGAACTCTAGGAAGTTTGGGATTTAGTGCTCATGCGGTAAGTCAAAGGAGGTGCCGCTGCTGCCTTTCTGAAGCTATTAGTGAAATTTTGTGGGATCTGAGTACAGTTTTGGCTGTGTGGCCAAAGGCCAGATGTTGCCCCCCAGAGGATAGTGTTGGTGGCACTTGGGCCCCTTACCTTAACATCCAGTACATGATCTAAAGATGAATGGGAGTGAGAGAGTCCTGTAGGTTTTGTTGACTTGCCCAGGGAGGTTGGAGAGGGGAAAGGAGGTAGATGTTTGCTTGCTCCAGAAGGAGGAGGAGGAAGATGGAGGAAGGCCCTTCTAATTGTTTCTGTAGAGATGCCTGGGAGTAGAAGGGTCTGGATTGTGTGCTGTTGATGAAGGCCGCCCAGTTTCCTCTCTCTCTCTCTCTCTCTCACACACACACACCTTCTGCAGGTATCTCTCGAAGTCCCCACCCCTCCTCTGCGCTGCACTTTCCCACCACTTCGATCCTGCCCCAGGCGGCCTCCACCTACTTCCCGCACACAGCCATAAGGTACCCGCCTCATCTGAATCCACAGGACCCTCTGAAAGACCTCGTCTCATTGGCTTGTGACCCATCCAATCAACAACCAGGACCGGTAAGGAACTGCCAGGATTATAACTCCTGTCATATTTTATTTTTTTTGTCTTGTGGTAAGGATAGTCCCTTATGCTTCTCTGTTCATGGCTCCCTGGGTCCAAGGAGGAATGGCATGGCAGGTTATTTGAAATACCCGTGCAACCAAGCAGTTCCCCAAGCTCTTCAGTGTTTTTGCTCAGTCATCACAAGACCTAGAAAAAAAAATATTTGTATATTTTCTTAAATGGTATACTTAAAACCAGATTTCTCCAACCTGGTGTTCTCCAAATGCGTTGGGATTTCCAGACTCCCTAAACAACAAAGTTTAAGCTAGTGTGTTTTTTCAAACTTGACAATGTTAAGATGAGTGGACTTCAACTCACAGAATTCACCAGCCACCGTGAATTCTGGTAAGTCAAGTCTATTCATTTTGAAGTTGCCAAATTTGAAACAAACAAACAAACACAGATTTAAACTATATTGTACCATCTCAGTCTTGGACCCACAATTCCATTTTCATACTTGATTGAAAGACTCACCATTGTTCTTATGTTTTGTTTTGTGTTGTGTTTGGTCCTGTCATCAGTTATTTTTACTTTCAAATAAGGCCCTGAAGTATTTTTAAAATGACATAGCTTTGTTCTAAGCTATTATTCTTAATGAATTAAAAATGATGACACGGCATTGGGGAGGAGGATGGTTACCTTGCCCTCAGAAGTCGTGGCAGCTTCATCACTGGAGACTTTCAAGAAGAGATTGGACTGCCATCTGTCAGAAATGGTGTAGGGTCTCCCGCTTAGGTGGGGGGGTTGGACTAGATGGCCTACAAGGTCCCTTCCAACTCTTCTTTTTAATCTGTTATTTTATCTGTTATCTATTGGGACTGAGATTTGTCCTTCTGTTCTTGAAATCTCATTTCTAAAACAGCTAAGCCTTAGCAGGCAGCATTACTATCTGGCCTTGGCTCAACAGAGGGAATCAGTCAGATCTGTTAGTATATAATACTACTACTGTTACTACTACTACTATTACTACCAGTACTATTACTATTACTATTACTCTTGCAGAAAGCACCTACTTCGGAACCTGTTGACCAAAGAATTTTGGCTGGCAGGGTCCAGAAGGACAGCCTTTCTGCTATGGTCTCCACCTTCTGGAACATTCTCCCATTGGAGGTGAGGTCCACCCCCACACTCCCGACCTTTGGGAAGGGCCCAAAAATGTCTCTCTGCCATTTGGATTGGGGCCTTGAGAGGGGCTTGCTATGTTGGGGGTTGACAACCAAGGCTTAGCTGTTTTAGGAATGAAATTGCTTGCCCATCATCTTAGTTTTTGGCATTTAGCTTTTCTATTCAATTTTTCTAATTTTAATTGTTTTCCAGTATTTTTTTTTTATTATTACATATTGTAAGCTACCCAGAGTTGTTGTATCAGTGAAATGGGCAGCACAGAAGTTTAATGAACAAACAAACAAGCAAATAAATAATACTAGAGTTATCAGAGACCAAAGCTGTAAGTTAGATTGTGAAGTAAAAAATAAATACCCAAACCCATCATGGAGGAAGACCATATTGTCACCAAGGGGGGAAAAACCCTTCAAGGACACATACATCACCACAGTCATCAGGCATGGAGGATTTTTAAAATTGTTAAGTAGCACCTGCACGTATGTGGGTTCTGAACAGACACAAAACAATGTGTGTGCTTGAGGAGGATTAAATCCTCAGATCTTCAAAACACTGATGGTAATTATCTGTAATTTGCATAGCATGCCTTGGGCAAGTTCCCAAAGCCCAATGCCATTTGTACCAAAGGCATGTAAAGGGTTTAGTGAAGGGAAAATGTAGTTTACAGTCGCATTGTACATCTTGAAACAAGATATGGTATAATCCTCCTTGGACTAGATAAATAATAATCAAAGTGAGATCGAGAAGCCCTGTATTTGCATGCTGTTTTCACAGGCAGGGCCGATGCTAGTGAAGAGGTAATGAATTCACACTAATTTAGGCTTCGTGCTGAGAACTTGTGCAAGAAGGAAATAGACCTGGTTCGGGGCCTGGAGGATGTTTAGGATAGGATCAAAGGAAAGTTTTGACAAAACTGTTGAGATCCTCAGAAATGGAGTAGTAGGATCTGCCTCACCTACTCAACTGCTGTACAGGTAGTCCTCGACTTACAACAATTCATTTAGCGACAGTTGGAAATTACAACAGCACTGAAAAAGTGACTTATGACCATTTTTCACACCTATTGCAGCATCCTCATGGTCGCGTGATCAGAGGCTGGGGAACCAACTCGTCTTTATGACGGCTGCAGTGTCGCGGGGTCACAGGATCAGCTTTTGCGACCTTCTGACAAGCAGAGCCAATGGGGAAGCCAGATTCACTTAAGAGCCGTGTTAATAACGTAACAGCTACGGTGATTCACCAAACAAATGTGGCACGAAAGGTCGTGAAATGGGACAAAAAAAAAAAAGTCACTTAACACAGTGATCCCCAACCTTTTCTACACCGCGGCCCGGTACCGGCATCAGCTGGGCGCCACCATCTTTTTTTGATGAAAACGTGACCTCACCGGAAGCACGTTTTCATCAAAAAAAGATGGCGGCGCCAGCGCTTCCGGTGAGCTTTTCCGGGTAGAAATGGCTTTCTACCCGGAAAAGCTCACCGGAAGCACTTTTTCATGAAAAAAAAGATGGCGGCGCCCAGAAAGCCGCGGCCCGGTAGGAGTTCCGCGGACCGGTACCGGTCCGCGGACCGGTGGTTGGGGACCCCTGACTTAACAAACATCTGACTTAGCAACAGAAATTTTGGGCTCCGTTGTGGTTGTAAGTCGAGGACTACCTGTATGTGCTGAAGGTGCCAGCTGCCCCTCTGAAAGAGCTATCGGGTTAACTAAGATCACAAAAAAAGGAATGAAAATTGTCAAGACCTGAAGGTGCTGCAGAACCGCAGAGAGAAAGAGAGAGCTTAAATAGTAAATATTCAAATTGCTCCCCTAATCAAAGTTGCACCTAGGCCATACGTGGGCCCACATACCCACAAATGTCTGCTATTGGAGGCCCAGCTTGTTTCTCTTCTCTATCTCTGCTAACTCTGCAGGTGGATGGTGCCATTGAAGGGATGTTAATGTATTAGTTACACGCAGGGCAGTAAAGGAGGGAATTATTACCTTCCTTTTCTCTTTCCCACATACATGCAGGCACATACAGAACAATTGGAAGCTAGTGTTGCTTCTGAATGTCTGTGATCGCTTCCTTGGCACAATCAATCCTTTCTACTGTTGGAAACATAGGCTGGAGATAGAGCTGAAAATGATATTACCTAGGCCAGTAGTTCTCAACCTTTCCTTCACCAGGGACACACACACCCCCTTTAAATTCCTTTTGTGGCCACGGAGCTCCAAGACTTAAGATTTAAATCGTAACATTTCTTCAAGCCTTCACCAACCCCCTGTGGCAACATTATGCCTCCCCCCAGAGGTCCAGGGGCCACAGTTTCAGAATCACTGATATAGGCAAGACTGTGCTAACTGTAGTGGGAGGACTAAAAATGCTTTTCAAATATATTCCTCTGAATTTCTTCCCAATTTTTAAGTTCTGAATTATCTGGATTTATTTTCGCTTTGATATATTAACATTCTTGCCATTCTTCCCTTTCTTTTTTTACTTTACAAATGTTATTGAGTCCATAGTTGACAACAGTGTTCAGTATCTTTCTCTGTTGTTGTTTTTTTTCCTTTCCTTTTTGGCATTGTAAAATAATATGCTATAGGAGAGTGATTTTTTTGATCACGTATGATTGTATCAGTATTCTTTTTTGTGTACTGTAATGTTTTGATAACATCCGTGAACATACACTCAGTATTCAGGTACATACGTAAAAATCATGAGAAAAAGAATTTTGATGCATCATAATAGCACCGTTACTTTTGTTGTGATATTTTATGAATGCACCCAAGCATTTTGGGTTATTTGTGTGGCTGTGGCTATAAATTCAGTTTTGGCAATCTGCACAAAAATCGCAAAATATAAACCTACATTTGCAATGCTAAAGAGTAATAAAGAGCACAGAAAATGCAGCTTGTTAGCACAGTGTCACAGTAAGCAGCTTGATAGATTTATTAGAAACCAATGTGGCCACATGAGCAGGGGTTGGGAATCTTGCCCCCTTTACCCCCTGTGGACTTCGGCTCCCTGGCTGGCTCAGGAATTCTGGGAGCCGAAGTCCACCGAAGGTAAAGGCGCCATTGTTCCCCACCCCTAAGCTAGACCATTTAGGTGGGATTGTGAAGAGTTTTTATACACGGAGGGCATTATGTTTTACTCTTAGCCATGACAATTGACTAGATCTTCCATATTTGCAGTCAGGTGAGCTGGCCAAGATTCCCAGGGTCCCCAGTGAAGCCCGCCCACTGTCCCCATTTTGAGGGGGGAGGTTCCTCTGGGCGGGCAGGTGACTCCTGTGGACAGTGCTAATGGCTTGCTCTGTGTTTTTTTTTATATTGTGTCCCTAGTTAAATGGAGGTGGTCAAGTGAAGGTACCCGGGCATTACCTTCCTACCCAGATGTTGGCGCCGCCACCCCCAGGTATGCCCCGCCTGGCAATCTCACCTGACACCAAATCTACCACGACAACTTCCGAGGGAGGGACCACCTCGCCGACGTCTCCCAGTAAGCAAGCCCACTCACCATTCCTGCACCTATCCTCTCCCAAATGGCCTTTCCACCTTGCCTGCCATCCGTCATTAATTCTTCCCCACCCTCTGGCCATATTCACCAATTCAGACTGCTCTGCAGCCTTGTGATTTTGGGGCAAGCTGGGGGGGAGGGGAATGGCTATTCTGAGGGAGAGGATTTTGAGATGAGATGGCAGCAGGGCGTATGAATTTAAACAGAAGTTCAAATTGCTCACTTAAACGATCAGAAATGGCCACTGATTTAAAATCAGTGATTTAAAAAATAAATAAATAAACCCAAGCAAACATGCATGCTGCCCTAAAACATACCAGGTTGCAGGTAAAGACAGCCTTTGTAGCTCCCTAGAACATAATCCAATTCCTCTAATGATCTACCTTGCATGCCTGTCTTACAAAATGAAGCTCGAATTTAAGAGAGCAATTGTGGAATGAAGTTGTTCCATTTGGCTCTTTCTTTACATGTTTAAGGACACCGAATAAGACCCAACTCCTTGAAAATTATAGGGTATCCCAAACTTTCCAGAAGCAAAAGGTGGTAGTTACATCGCAGACATAAAAGTTTTATCAGCCGGTTGGCCTTCTAATTTTGTGGTCTGTGAGAAGCAGCCTCCATGCAACATTGTGTGGCATTGTGCAGATTCCAGAGCAGTGTTTTTCAAACTTGGCCATTTTAAGATGTGTAGATTCAACTCCTAGAATTCCTCAGCCAGCATAACCTTCCCTAGCCAGTTAAAACTTGACAAGTTTGAAAAAATATTGCCCTGGATCCTATTTCCCCTTACATCATTGATCAAATGGTAGATTAAAGGGGTGTACAGAACTTCTATTTTGATTTCAAAAAGGTCCTTCAAAGCACATAGGGGCACTAGCATAGCTCCAGCAGTTCATTTTGAGTTCTTTAAAGTAACTGCTTTTTTCCCCAGGAATCTGCTGTTTAATTTTCAGAAAAAGACATAGCTGCTTCAATCCCTTGAAGAGAGAGAGAGAAAAAAAAAAACTCTGTTCCTGCCCCTCTGGGTTCTGAAGACACTTTTAGGAAATGAATTTGAAGTACTGCACATTCCTAGCATATTATGACTGGGCATAGTGTTTTCCCAAGATTTTCCTAAAGAATGTTGCTTATAATTTGGGGAACATTTTGATAGGGTTTTAAGAAGCCTTAAGTGTTAGGATTTTGTCCTTGTCTGTCTATTCCTGCTCTCCCACACAATATCATCTTCCATTTCCCATCCTATGTAAAAGGGCCAAGTGTTTTCCTTACCTTCTGAAAATTTGTTTGCTTGTGATCTAAATATTAATGCTAGAATAGCCCACACTGAAATAATAATAATTACTGTAAAGGGAAGCCTTGTTCATTTTCAAACTTTATAATGACTTTGATTATGCAAATCCTCTCTATTTAATCACTCCGTCAAACAACATGGATATTTATTTTCCTTATCTTGAAAAGGCCGTGTTTTTCTAGTATCTACTGGTAAAATACTATTATTTTCCTCCATGCTTCACCAGTTCTTTACCTTGGCATCTTACTGGGTTTAATGGAAGCTTATAGACTTGATTGCAGTGTGTGTATGTATGACTGTTGACTTCTATTGTCTAGTTGGCAGTGCAGTCAGATGTCACATCAAACCAGTTTCCTTAATATTGCTGATTGGAAAAAAATAATAATGTAAACTGAAGTGTGGAACTACCCTCCCTAATCCAATTCCTAGCACTTTCCCAATCTATCACTAATAAAATACATAGCATGTCATTTTCTCCTTTCCAGATAATATTCCTAAATGTCTAAAAAACAATAATGCTCTGTTTGGAAAGTGAGGAGTGGCGTAAACTTTTGTTTAGAGGCTTAATAGATTGGAACTCGACTGGTCATGTGCCTTGGCTCATTGTTCTTTAATTGCAGGGAAGAAGCCAAATGTCGCTTTTAAGGGCTGTGTATTTGGTATAATCTGTTTTGTCTTTTGCAGTTTGCTGAGAAAAAGTCTTGCAAATACCTCTGCTATGCTCTAATAGTTGTGTAGAAGGAGGTTCCTTAGCAAAACGTATTGTTCTTCTAATAAGAAGTGGAGGTCTTCCTAGGAGCTTATATCATCAGCTTTGATGTAACTTCTTCTACTCATCCAGTTTACTGAGATTTCACAGTCTTTCACAAATTTATTTCTTCTTCTTCTTCTTCTTCTTCTTCTTCTTCTTCTTCTTCTTCTT